TAAAATATTTTTATATATATATATATATATATATATATATATATATATATATATATATATATATATATATATAATTTTCAGTGGTCTCCCCTCTCTCGTTCCATACATTTATGAAGCGACCTGGATTTAGGGCTGCACAGTAAAAAATTTTTTTAGAGTTAAATTTAAAACTCGCATTGTCCATCTCTTTCTAGTGACGTCAGAAGGGAGGAAATGCATGCTAAAAATTTTGCGAATATACCCACAAAACGACACTTGCAACAGTAGCAACAGTAGCGAAGGTTTTAGTCATAGCAACAAATTTTTAGTTACAGCAACATTTTCGGCAAACCATGATTAGGTGCAGCAGTAAAATCTTTTTTCTCCATATAACCACTTTAGGTTCGTGAAATTCCGTTTTACTGCTAAGTGGACGTTAACACATTGCTCTCTTAAAAGTCTTCCGTAATAACGAGCTGTCAGCCGAACGAAGAGAGCAACAAATCACTTTCCTAGATGTCTATTCGCGCTAATCGGCGGTGGCGCGCGTTCGCGACCTCGATAATGTGAGCGCGCGTCGATAATGCGTTTCGAGCTCGTCGAACTCATTATATTCAGGTCGACACTCTCTCCGCTCGTTGAGAGTTTTCACCGATCGCGCGCGGTTAACGACGTGCCCATCTTTTGTTCGCCATTCCGACGGGGGAGTCATCGACATCTCCTCCGCCTCCACCTTCTCGACGAGGAGAGCGGAGCGATCGGAAACACGTCGGAATGAATTACGACGATTAGCCTCGCCTGCCCTGTCCGTTACGCGTAATTTTATGCACTACAGTTTTTCTGCCGGCCCGGTCTAGCCGGCAAATCGTATCGAAGGTTTGCAAGCTTAGATAGAGAGTGTGGCGCGACGTTGTAGGCTCGCTCACGTCCTAATGGTCTCTAATGATACAGCATCGACGCGAAATTGAGAAATATTCCACAGCGTGCACCGCACGGCGGACATTCGCCCATAAAACACACGCGCTATCCATCCGCGATTCATTAATAATTAATGCCCTCGTGATTATTAACACGTTCGATACTTATCGCGTCGGTGTGTGCGTGTGTGTTGCTTACGTGAGCACAAATTAACATCCAGGAATGAAAATCGAAGAGAACGGATGTTCCATGAATACAGCAACAGTTACGATAACTGTTACGACTGTATGAATTAGCACAAAATTGCCCGTATATTATAAGCGAGACGACCTTTCTGATATTGAAATGTGTTACACCCAAAAAGGTATAATCCTCTTATATATAAGAGGATTCTTTTGCGGTCAAAAAGAAAATATTGCAAGCACAATATTCTTACACGGAGAGAATATTATAGTTTCTTCTTTTATATAAATTTTTTCCAATTTTACTATTTTTCCAAGCGCCGTTTGCCGTTATATACTTATACAAACTGAACAAAAAGTTCTCTACTGTTTTGCTAATAACTACATAGGTTTTTAAATATTAATTAAAAAAAATTTGTGCCTTATCGCGCACAATTATGTACAATTTTCTTTCATTAACTAAAAATCTACGTTTTTTTTGCAAAATAATAAAGAACTTTTTTGTTCAATTTGATCTAACAAGCACACTACAGCTCACTATTACAGTTCATTTACCATATCGCACTTCATATTCACCAATTTTCTATAATATCGACTATTATTGCGAATATCGCAACACGGTACAGGACCTTTGTGTTCATTTCAATTCATTCTACGTTCTCACAAAGAACAACTTTCGATAAGAGTATTCGCTTAAAATGACATTACAGGAAATATTATGTTGCAATTAGAGTCTCTTTTGGGAGTATTGCAATATTTCCCTTCCAGTTTTCCCTTTCAAAAGAATCTTCTTAAGAATTCTAATTTTTATATATAAAAGAATTCTAATTTTTATTGTAATTCTAGTATTTACATATGATTATAACAACTTTATTAAAAAGAATGGAAAGGAACGAATATCCTTTTACCTTGAAGCAGTCACGAAATAATATTGACAATTCGCGCACGATCCCGAGTACTATCGTGTAAGTAATATATTTTAGTATTCATAAAGCGTATTTTACAACCAACGATCGAGATATCAGGCAGCTCGTCCTCGTTCAACGAAGATAGCAAGAGGGAGAGAGAGAGAGAGAGAGAGAGAGAGAGAAGAAGGAGAGAGAGAAAGAGAAATATTCCGCCTTCGACTCTCTTCTCGTCGCCAGATAAACGTCGCCATCACGATGATGGGCCATTGAACGTTTCTGCGACGGAGGAAGAGAAAGAGAGACACAGAGAGATGTCCTCCACGCCTCAGTGAGCCGTAACGCCGTCATTACATTTTGCAACGGCCGTTGATAACATATTTTCACCGCGTAGGCGATAATGCGAGTAGAAGGTGCGCGAGTGTGCACGCGCGCGCACAGTCGCGCGTGGTCGTGAAAGCGTCACGATTGCGAAACACTCAATTATATTCGTTGTCGGGACCCGCCGCGTTCCGGTTTCGCGCATTGTCTCGAAGCCGACTAATTCCGCCGAACGCGGCGTGGCACACCAATTAAGATCGTAATGAAACAGCACCGGATAATTACCGCGGGCCAGAGGTCCTAGCTGTCGCGCTCATTCCGCTCCGACTCGTCCGCGCGCTTCTTTCCGCCGATGTCTCTCCCTCCCCTCCTCACACGCACACACGGCGAACAATTCTGTTTTGTTGCGTGGAACCACCTTGGCATACCAGGTTAAGGCGTGTCGTTTTGCATTGTCGTCGCTCGACAAAAGAGTCGTACGGCTGATTCCTTTGTACTATACATTGATTCTCCTCGTTGCAACCGGTCAGTCGCGAAGCGCTTGTTTCCCGCTGATATGATCGCATTGTATTTGTTTGTCTCTTTTAGCTCTTCGAGACATCGATTCCGTCCGACTAAGATTCTTCCCTCACAAAACAACTTCGAAAAACCCTCCTGACGAAGAGAGTTTTGTGATCCGAATAAAATTGGCCGCCGAGAAGTACGATTTTCTGAATGTACATGATAATAACGTTGCATTGGAGTCATAATAAACATCTAATGAGAAACATCGATTCATAATTTTTTGATCACTTTATCTGATGAAGTGCCATTATGACCGGAAGTGTTCGATTCAATTTAATCAGATATCCTGGTCGGATATAAAAATTCATCGGTATTTTGATCGGAAATATCCGTAAATTTTTTATCGAATAACTTC